ATTAGGTTCGAATTTTCGAACCGGACTTTTCGTCAGGTTCGAGTCCGGTTCAAGCTCGAACCGAACCAGACTCGAACTGAACCAGACTTTTTTTCGGAATCCTAATTCAAAGTAAATTGCCGTGAACACAGTCACTATTGCCATTTTGAAATTCTTTCATACGCAAAAGCTCAAAACAGTAACAATATCCATGAAAAATTTGATAAAAATGCTTACTAATTAAGAACAATGAATGAAAAACTTCTCAAAAATCTATATAATGGAAATTATTTAAAATGATATATTGAAGATAATAAATTGGAACCAATAATTGTGATTCAAAATTAATCTTATTCGACTGAGAAATTAATAAACTAAGCTTTGGGATTGATTAAATCTTATATTACTATAACTGGAATAAGAATCACAATAAAAATTTTCAAAATGATACAAATTATTTCAATTGAAGAATATCACTATCTTAAATCACATCATCCAAGAAGAATTACTCATGGATAACTTACTCAAGTATTACATATTTGCGAATCAAATAATTGGAAAACATCATCATACTGCGGAAAACAATGTTAAAACTGTATAGAAGTTACAAAAATTATCAAATTTGAGAATAGAATAGAAGAAAAGTATCAAAACTGTCAACATACTTTACATTCATGCTATTATTATTGGTGTAAAAATTATTTTTAACAATCACACGAAATATATATTACATATAATCCAAAAGAAAAATGTATTATCAACCTAACTGACTCAGATAAAGAAGAATTTGATAATTTATCATTATCAAAAAGCAATGAACAATGATTACAAAGTAATAGTAAATATAATAGTATTATTAGTATTCCATGATTACAATTAGATAGTAATAATATTGAATAACCAATACAATATACTACTGAATGGTTTCAAAAATATTGGATAAAAAAAATCATACAACCACAAATTAAAAATACGAAAAAGATATCAACATTACCATTTCATATTGAAAAATATACTGTTCTATTCAAACAAAAAAACAAGCCCATTGAAACTAGAACAAATAATCATGCAAACCAGTTTAAAAAACAATAAAAGAACTAATAGAATTCTTGTAATATTGCACAAATCATAAAACTAAACACAACAATTTGGAGAATGTGAATGATAATTGAATCAAAAATACGGTTCCACACGCAAAGATCTTTAATATTCTAACAGTATCACGATCCCAATTTTTATAATCAACAAATTAATTACTTTAATTATTTTATATTAATTATTAATTACTATAATTAATTTATTTAAAAATTATTATTAATCAAATTTAGTCAAAAATTTTGAAAATCATAAAATCCAAAAATATATATATATAACCACTTTTTAATTTTATTATTTGTATTAAATTTATTTTTATTTTATTTTCTATTATATTGTTTATTAATTTTGAAAATATTCCACTGGAAATTCAACAATTAGCAATGGAATTACAAGCAAAAATTCAACAACATTACCCAAAATATCAATTCATCATTGATCATAATGGATCACATTTTATCACTGCTCTACCACTTTATGAAGAAACAAATAATAATGATAATGATGAAAATAGTAACTCAATACCATTAATCAAATTTAAAAGTTGTACTATTAATGAATTTATTGACGTAATGGCTAATTCTGAACAAATTGAGATATCTCCAATATATTTCTCTGACAAAGTTTTACTATTAATTTATGCTGACTTATTTTTAACTAAACAATATACTGAAATTGCTCTCTACTTTAAAATTGGATGAATTTTTAATGATCTAACAACTGGATTGACCATTGCACAAATAATGACTAAAGTCAAACGCTTGTTTAAGAAGGATATCTCTTTACAAAACACTATAGCAAAAGCGTTAGCCACTCTAAGAATTTACGACTACTTCAAAAATTTTTCTGGAGCATTAAATTATAAAAAGATTGATAAATATTTCAAACTGAGTCCAATTGGAAGACTAAACAAATGAAATAGCGATGAACTCAAAGAACAAATTGTTAAAATATTTAAACAAATGGCAATGAACTCAGAAAAGATAAATTTAAATAATATTTTAGTTTAATTATATTTATTTTATTTTTATTTTTACTTTTACTTTATTTTTATTTTTTTATTTTACAGAGTAAAATACTTAACAATGAGAGTTCTGTTGTGATTAGATATTTTCATAATTACAAACAATCATCTTACATGATCACTTTACATGATCACTTTACATGATCACTTCGAATGATCATTCCAAATAATCATTTCAACTGATTATCTCAAGTGCTCTGAATGATTATTGCAAATGATTATTGCAAATAATCATTACAAATGATCATTTCAAATAATTATTTCAAACACTCCAAATGATTATTTCAAATGATTATTTTATAATTATCAAATACTTATAAATACAACTTGTATCTTAGCTTAAAAAATAATTAATTCAATTCAAGTTTAGTTTTTATTCTTTTAATAATCCTTTAGATAGTATTTTTATAATCTTTCGTCTTAATTGTGAAGTTATTTTTGTATTTGTTTTATAATCTCTCGTCACTATTGCGAAGTTATATTATCTCATACATTCTTGTATTTGACCTCTCATCTATATTACAAAGTCAATAATAGTATTAAATTAATAAAAGAAAATTACATTTTACTTGTTTATAAACCAAATTTAAAAGAACATTTTATTTATTATAAATTGAATTATAAAAGACACAATTACCTTTGAACCTTTCTGATCTCATTCTAGCTGACCAACAAAACGAACATATGTTACCTACCTTTAGATAACTTAGTGAACTCTCACAACTTAAAGTTATTTAATACATAAACTCTCCCATCTGACTATATCACATGTATTCTTGTGACAGAACCTAAAGTCATAATAAAATGGTAACAATATATATAATTATATACTGAATTAATAACATTATTTGAAAGTTAATTGATAATTAAATTTTTTAAGTTTTCTTTTTGACAAAATCAAATTTGAACTATAAAAAATATTTTTTATTTATATAATTATAACTATATGAAAACGATTTTATATATATTTTTTCATATTTTGATCAAACATTTTCAATGTAGTATTATAAATGAATTTAAAATATATTTATTTGCAAACTCAATTTTTAAGAATTGCTTTTATATTTATAAAAAAATATTATATTCGAAAGCAACGAAGTATCATCTCCACAATCGTCCACAAAGTATTATATAAAAGAGTGAGTAAATTAGTTTCGATCATGCCCTCACTTCCACCAACCACCTGAACTTCTTTTCCAAAATAAATTCTGCAAAGTTCTTTAATGAACAGATTATCTGTTCGTGCGTCTAATCCCAATGTGTTCATGTGCTCAGGATATATGGAAATGAGATGATCATTGTCGGATTCGAAAACGCTCATTGTGGTGATCATAGAGTTTAGTTCACTGAGAAGATTTGATGTCAACGTGTTGAAATATCTGTATACAAAATTTCATTAATAAAAAATTATAATAGGAAAAACGCGAATTATTAACTCATTACTTTATCAGTTCAATTTCAATATCATAAACATCTTTCGGCGGAACAATCGTCGTTAGACTATTAATTGACCCATCTTCAAATATATCTTGAGATACTCTTACTTCATCTTCATTTTCATCTTCGATATTATTCAATCTTTGGTATCCTATATTACTGTTATTGATATTAGTATCCATTCCTCCGTACCCACACCATCTATTTAATGTTAACTGCCATTGCTCTATCAGACTATACGGCCTCCATCTTTCTTCGTTATTGTTGTCGTCATGTAACTCAAGCAACTTTGACAGATCACGGTAACGTTGAAAATCGGCCGAATTTAAATTGACCAATTTTTGCATTAACAACGAAGGATCAGGCGAAGGAACAAATGAAGAAGATTTTGATGTGGTGGTGGTGACTGAGGAGAAAAAAGGGGAGTTTGATAACGATGATGCTGCTGCCTTTGACGAGAAATTAATTAGCAAGTCATATAGATTTTGTTTGTTTTGGAATATTCGATCTGTTGTACCTGTATATAATAATTAAAAAAAGGATTGAATCTCCAAATTTTTATAAGAAACTTGATATGCTGTATGAAATGTCTTCCTACATGCCACAAATCCACCTTTCATCAATTTTATCATGTCGATTTCATGTACACCGACGTTAAACAACGGTTGTAGTTGATTATTTTCCGCACTGTCTCTGCCACGCAATATCTGTTTGATATTGTCGGAAAAGTTTACTAGTTGGCAAGTACCATATACTAATAAGCATTCATGGTTTGCATATAAATGTAAGGTTAAATCAATCGATCAATCAATCAATCGTGAATTAAAAATCGAACATTCATATGTTTTAAGGAATGCATATCAAAAGATACAAACCATAATAACACCCAATCTCAACAGGTGGTGCTGAATAAAACAGTATACGTTTATTTAGTATGGCCGCTTTCCAAAGAACAAAAATCGAAGGGCCAAAGTGTCGTATGAAACTCGAAAAATGATGGGCAGGATGCGAAGACTAGAAATTTATATATTGGATTATTAGAGTTAATAAATCTTCGAAAAAAAGAATCGGATTATGAAAGTTTTATTACCGAATTTGACAATTCTTGATGATTCATTTTATCGATTATTCCATTGCTGCTAGTGGCATCCATCATCGACGCTGAAGATTCGTTATTTGATGAAGATGACGATGGGCCGCTAGTAACATTATCACCATCATAGCTATTTATCAAACTGCCATGCTCACTAAAGAATCGTTCTAGTGCAGAATAGTCACTTGACAAGTTTACATGGAGCCTATATTAATATTTTCATCATCAAAAAAAATTAAGTATAAAACGAAAATATTTCCAAAGACTTAAAAATGATTACATAGTTGATTTTACTTGATGTTTAAATACCTGACCTGACCTGACTCTGTAAAAATTCCAAGTGTCTCCAAGGTTGATCGTATATTTCTGTTTCAGATGTTTTCGCAACTAGTATTCCGACGGCTGCCATGTGAGCACCACGATCTTGGGACTGATCGAAGGTAGGAATGTTTTCGTAGACACTCAGGCCGATATATGGAGGTCTTACGAAATATCTATTTGTATATGCAATAAGAGTAGCAATAGCAACAACACGATAAGGATATTATAGAATTGAGTTTCCCTTTAGAAAATATCTGCGTGAAAACATTATGTCTACATACATGATATCTTTTTTCATTAGATGTAATCCACTTGGCATCGCCGAAAATTCCACGCCATTAAGATCAAAATCTGATCACAAAAAACAATGAATTTATTTTTGATTTTTCATCGTTATCAACAAAGTAAAAAGATTCACCTTTAGGATACTGCCATTCAATGATATTTCCATGCTTGGTATCGAAGCGTGCCACAAAAATAGCTACCACGTTTGTTGGTAGTTGGTCAATGGGTGTTGGTTCTGGTAGTGGTGTCTTTGATTTTGGAATGAGCGCCTCGCCACTTGCAAAAGACACGTTGTTGTTGATTGTCTCTGTAACTTTAGAAGAAGCGTCCATGTGCAGTTCTATACTCTCGCGTTTCAAGTCACTTTTGGAGAAAACACCAGAAAAGTTAATGCTAAGCTAATGAAAAGCTACACACATACTCTTATACTTGTAAAAAGCAACATACGAGCTTCTCACAGCCATACTGCTACTGTTTCAAAAAAGATGCTTATGTTGAAGCTTCAAATATTACAATACAAATTAAATTTTTTGAAATCAAACTGTTTGACCAACACGTGGATTATGTGGAAAACCAAACTTTTAAAAAAAGGCACAGATAGTATGATGTTTCGCGTTGCAATACGCGCTTCTGCTTTGAGAGCTGCTGGTAAGACGTGCGGAGATGAAGCTAAGCTTCTTTCCATATATCCAAATTCACATGGCTCAGCAAACTTAAACAGCAAGAAAATTTATGTCAAGGACTTTTTTTCTTTATAGGGGTTTCGCGAAATTTATCTAGTTCTAGTAGTTCGCCCCTTCGATCCGCCGCCGCCTCTTCTAGTTTCAATCAACGTAGAAACTATTCGTTATGGGGTTTACTAGCTGCAAGTTCACTGATCGGTTCTATCTCCTATTATCAATACAAAACTTGGGTAAGTTAAAAGAAGAGTAGTTAAAGTGAAGGTTAATGAAGTGTTTGGGTGCACATCCTTCGCCCAACGATGAATGATACCTCTTTTCTTCCAAGCTCCAAAATAAAGTCGAATGTGGTGCTCTTGACGAAGATATCAGAATTGTAAGTATTTCTTAGTTATTGACCTATTTTTAGTTCAACCATTATTCGCAAAATTGAATTTGGATTTTTTGATTAATATAATAAGAGATTGAAAGGAGAAGTAACAGATTCTTCGCCAATGCGTCTTCGCATGGAACAATTTGTGAAGTCATTGCAAAAAAAAATTGTTTCGGAATTAGAAGCAGTCGATGGGAAAAAATTTCAACGTGATGCATGGGAACGAGCAGAAGGTGGCGATGGGATTTCATATGTACTACAAGAAGGCAACGTTTTTGAAAAAGCTGGGGTGCTTGTTTCCATAGTGTATGGGGAACTGCCGTCCGCCGCTGTTCAACAGATGAAATCTCGACATGAAGATCTTGATCCGGAAAATGGTCCGTTCCCATTTTTCGCGTCTGGGATTTCTATTGTTCTTCACCCACACAATCCAATGGCACCTACCATTCACTTAAATTATCGGTACTTTGAAATCGGGAATGAGGATGGAACGCCTAGAATTTGGTGGTTTGGTGGTGGTTCAGATCTCACCCCCGCCTATTTATTCGACGAGGATGCCACGCATTTCCACCGAGTACTTAAAGACGCATGCGACAAACACGATCCAAACTATTATCCGAAATTCAAAACATGGTGTGACAAGTACTTTTATTTGAAGCATCGTCAAGAAGCGCGTGGAATTGGCGGAATATTTTTCGATGATCAAAACGATCGATCACCCGAGAAACTTTTCAACTTTGTAAAAGATTGCGGAAATGCGTTCTTACCATCCTACATCCCAATAGTGAAACGACGCAAAGATATGCCATTTACAAAAGAAGAAAAACTATGGCAACAATTACGAAGAGGTCGTTACGTGGAGTTCAATCTTGTTTGGGATCGTGGCACAAAATTTGGCTTGCAGACTCCCGGGTCGAGGATTGAAAGTATCCTTGTAAGTTTACCGTTGACTGCTACTTGGATGTATAATCATTCGCCTTTAGCAAATTCTCGTGAGAAACAATTGATTGAAGTCTTGAAGAATCCTAAAGATTGGATATAAATTATGCTTTTCAAGTTTGTATTTAGCATAAATATTAGAAATTGCATTCTTTTTTATATGTGCGTATTTTTGGTCTTATTATTTAAATTTTGTGTTAGATTACATCTATAATTAGAAAATTAAACTAAAGCTATTCAAATGCTTACTTGCATGACTAATATAAATAACATTTAAATGGATACAATCCATCGCTATTTCTAGTTTTTCTTGTTTTGTCCAGTACTTTGAAATGTTAAAATACATGTAGAGAAAATTCTGGAGGCAGAAAGATAGTAGTATAATAAATGTCTACAAAAACATCTATCGTCGATAGTGATAACGATGAAATTTTCATTGCCAACGAACTCTCCAACATTCTCAAAGAATTTCAGCATGGAATAAAACCAAATTCTCTACAAATTCTGAGCACTTCAAAGACCAACAACGCAACCACGCATGAAACTTATGGAGCAGTATTTAAATTAACCTTGTTGGAAGACATCGAGCTTAAAATCGGTGTTTCTAAGGCTGGGTTTACGGTATTTCTTTGTGAACGGTGGAATTTATGTTTTTTTCAATAATCTCAGCTTAATAATAATAATAATTTTTATGTGGAAAGATAATTCAAGCAACACGAGAAGAAAATAATGGAAAGTTGGCAAATGATGATTTAGAACGCATCTTGCCAATTGTCAATCAACCTTTTGAAACGATGGACGCCTTGTTATTCAAAGCAAGTCCCAGATTCGGGAAATCCTTTCATGATACGTTACTCTCGAAACTTGGTAACGAATTGTGAGTGCATTGTTTTTGTTTCCTGCTTGCAATTACGTATATTTATGTGGTGGCTTGCTCACAATTGATTCGTAAGCGAGAAAAGCCGACAAATTTCGCCAGTAGTTTTCTTTTTTTGGGCAAATTTAATGTTTCGCTTGCATTGGCGGCTTTACATTATTGTCGTTTTTTTTGGAATTTTTGCGAAATTTCAAAAAAGCAACGTCGAAGTTTGTAATATAATAAATAATAAAATATTATTATGTACAAACAATTCGAATCCAATAACCACAAAACAGAACAATTTAAAGTAATTGTATGTATATGTATGTAAAGTATGTTGTAAAAACCAAATGCTAATAATCTAAAGAGAAAAAAAGTTTTTTTCTGTAAACAACCCAACAATATTTAGTTACTCCTACTATTCACTCTGCAAAATAATCATCCAATCAATAATGAACCAACCCAAAATTAATTTTCTTCTGGGATAATAAAAAATGTATCTGGTATTGCTCGTCTTTTTTTTTTCTTTATTTTAATAGATGTGTGATGTGTGCCAAAGGAAGAAAGTAATCGGTAGGTGATTATACGTAATAATGATACTACGCCCGATTGCCGTTCCCTTGTTTTACAGGATCTTTTTATCATTTGCAACATTTTAAAATAGTTAATATGAAAGTTAAATTTTTTCTCGCAAGATGAGGGAATTCGACAATTACCAAAATATGGATGTTCCATTGCTTCCTTTGGTGTTAATCGTTCCTAAAAAATTGATAATACGTGGATAAATGTTATTCATGAACAATGCAAGAAACAAAAAAACAATACCTGATGATCATATCGTAACAACTTATCAAGAAAATCGATGGCTTCCTTGGAAACAAATTTTTGATTGTCTGATGTGACGAATTTTTGCCATAGTTTCCGTGGATATCTAAATTTCATTTTAATGCTTCAAATCCCCAACATATGCAAGCATCAAAATCCAGAAATCATTATCATTCCGTTACCTTCCCAAAATGTCATCATATTGAGTATCCAACTCTATATCATATTTGTCAAGATATGCAAATAACTCATCCGTCCCAAGGACTTTTGCAATTTTTACCAATTGATCATAGTTATCATGGCCATGGAAAAATGGTTCCTTGCGGAAAATCTTTAAAAAAATAAAATTCAGCAAAACTATAAATGTAAAATATGAAATTGAAACCATCATAAGTCAACGAAATAATATTGATAAAAATACCTACCATACTTGCAAACATACAACCTAAGCTCCACATATCAAGCGAATAATCGTATTCCTGAAAATCAACCAGCAATTCGGGACCTTTGAAATATCTTGAAGCTACGCGCACATTATATTCTGTGCCAGGATGATAAAACTCTGCCAAACCCCAATCTATTAGCCTCAGCTATCATTCATATAAGAAAAAAGATTATCGTTACTATATTTTGGATAATAGAACAAAGAAAACGATAAAATATACGTACTTTGCGTTTTTCATGATCAATCATTACATTATGAGGCTTAACATCCCTATGCATGATTCCTTTTGAATGACAAAAATCCAATGCCTAATTGCAAAAAAGAGGTTATATACGCATATATTGCACTGAAGGCACGATCCGATAATCTCTTATCCCATTAATTAAAAAACACACCTTCAGAAGTTCAAAAATATAGAAACGGACATCGTAATCGGTGAATTTCGGGTACAAGACTTTAAAATCGGTGTTATTGACATATTCAAAGATAAGTGATGGAGTCTTGGACTTATGATTTTTTAATAATAAAAAAAAAGGAAAAAATGAAAATATAATAATTAATTAATACAAACATTAATGATGTTGTTACTTCGGGCCTCATCATGCAAACAATCCATTTTTTTACTAAAGAATTCATGGATGGACTTGATGAAGCTTCTAGAGATGATGGTGACAAGGAATTTTTGATTTTGACTATTTGAGATTTCATTCAACAACAACATACTTGTGGATCTCTCACAACGTCTTGCAGCGAAATGATATTTGGTCCACCAGCGAGGTTCTGGAGAATCTTAATCTCGCGCTTGATTTTCTTCTTTTTTACTGGTTTAAGGACTTTAATTACACATTTTTCGTTATTCGTGATGTTTACCCCCTCAAAAACCTCTGAATACTTTCCGCGACCGATTTTTCGCACTATTTCGTAGTTATCTTGTACACTGAAAATATTAATTTTTTATATTATTATTATTAGCATTGGTTATCATAATTCGGATATCTTCTCTTCAAGGCGTGGAAAGATATCAAAGAGAGCACTAGCATCAGAATTTACGTACCCCCATTGAACTTGCAAATTATCTAGATATATTTGGCAAAAAAAAGGGAAACAAGATCGAGACGATTAAGAAGAGTTTCTCTGAGTGGATAACATGCAAACCAATGACGAAGATAGATCTATACCATAGTCCCAGTACTCCTTTGGCATTTGCTGGTTGACATTGGCATAAGATCGAGCTATACTCGTGTACGACATTTTGCTTAGAGTCTGTGCGCACTGAAGATCGGATGAAGGACAATAACGAAGTATGTGTAAAGGCCTTCTTCAGTTTCAAAAGTAAGCTGACTGCCCTCTTTAATATTGTTGTTGACGCAAAAAAAAGAATAATACCACACTCGAGACTTTGTGGATATTGAATAATAAATAGTTTGCGAAGGTTTTTTTGCCCAAAAACATAACACTTCAAGTTTACGAAAATTCTATGGTTGTTTGGGGGCTAGCAGGTCGATGCATAGAAAGGGTCCGGAGAATCGACCCGATTATAAAATAGATCGGATTATTGGCAAATATCAAAATTGTGCAGATCATTACTTATGATTGGTCAGATTTATTATTTTTTATATTAATGCTGAAATTTTTAAACTAAAATATGTTACTTGATAGTTCTTATCAAAAACTATTGAATGACGTATTTTTCTTACATTTAAAGTTCATATAAAAAATCCTTTGCAATTCAAAGTATTTGATGTGACTAAATTGGACGAATAATTACAATGCCAACAAATTCAAAGCGTCCAATTATCTGATTTACCACCAAACTATGGGAGCTATATACCAAGGATCTACTACAGAAAATGTGAAGTTGCTGCTGACATATTTTTTAATATTGACACCAATGGGCATTTAAAAATGCAATGCGTTTAACACAACCTTTTCCAACTAAGGGGCACTAGGATGTAGTAACACTTGGATAAACAACTTCACATCTACTTGAAATTAACCTTCACTTTGCGTCCAATCCTGCTGCAACGCTCAGCTTTCGGTTAATCGGCATTGAAACTAAAAAGCGATATCTTAATTTATTATTTCACATAGGACATTCGGCAGCTACAGCGTGAAAATGGGTTAGATGACAGTGAACTTGCCAAGAGGAGAGAGTTTTGTTAAAGTCGGTTTCGTGCTGCATAATTGAGTGATTGAAATGGACAAATGATGTTTGAACGATTATAAGAGATGGCTATTGCAACAATTTCAGTGATGGAAAGACAGCTCTACAAGTACATGATTCTTCTATTATAACAAGGTTAGCACGAAAAGTACATCAAGCTGTTATTTTGATGCTTCTTAACAATTGCATGAATTATATCGCATGTGATGAGTTTAATTCCACTTTCTTTTTTAAGAAATTTCTGAAGACAACATGCGTTTTAGAATAGTATTCTGATTACCAGTAATCGAAAAATATTTCTTAAAAGGTCTGCATCTTTACATGCATGCTCAAATCACAGAAACACGAGATGGATGTATCCATCTTCGGAACAGTTGCAATACATTCTAAGCATTGGTTGATCACGCTTTCTTTTTATGTGATCAAAGAAAATGTGGCTTCACGTATCGAAGAATTTTTTCAGCACATTGTGAACGATGCAAAAAATAACAGCAAACTCCTTAATGGCTTCAAACATTCCATAAATGGTTTCGAAAGTCTGAATCTTTGTTGCTAACATGTTAAATGACAAGCCGAATTGTTCGAAAATTAGGGTTCAGCTTACATCAGTTCAACGTACTGTATCCCAAGGGACCAAAGTAGCCGAAAAATACTTCGAGGGTAGGTATTTCTATGGCTGTTAATTAGTCCTATTAAATCATAGGACCGAACCGGACCGTTAACAGCCAAGGTGTTTCATTATTGTCTAATTTATTTGTTTGGATTATGCATGTAATTATAAATTTCGCGTTATGCAATCTTCTGTCCGAGGCAGCTATCCGAACGATCACGTGATCACCAGATACTGCTAGACGATTTCCTCGTGCGTGGGCGTCGGATGACGCAACTTTAGTCATTTTTTCTTGCATGATTTCACAAACAATATGAGCAGCATCCAATTTTATTTTTTATTGAAACTAATTAATTATCATAATACCAGAAAAGTAAAAGGGAAAAGTTTATCTAGACTTTTTAATGTTAATAATAAAAGTTACTGTAAAATGTGATAATGAACATTTGTGTATATACGTACGATTAAGATACTTTTTTAAATACTTCTCTGGTGCTTCATTAATTCATTTAATTGGTGTTGCGAATTTTCTCGCGCGTTTTAAAAATTCCGTGTTTTGATTGAACGTTTTATGGTATCGAATAGTAGAGCATTAATAATAGTGTACCTAAATTTTCTAAGATAAAATCGGTTCTTCCTCTTCATTGTCTGTAATTAGTGTATGAGATATTGGGAAGAAGGAAATAAGAATTAATGAAAAATAGAGGATTATTGGAATATAGAATTATTCGAGTGTTATGGAAGTCGTCAAGTATTAACAATTAATTACAAAGATTACAAGATGACAATATATTAAGTTAAAAAAGTATGTATTAAAATAAAAATTTGGTGGATTCAAATCAAATACTAGAAGAATTAATCCGAGTGCTCTAAATATACGCGATTGTAACCAAAGTATTGTGTGTGCCATATGATCAAGCACGTAGAGAGAAGCGAACATAAAATCAATGAATTTTCTGCGGACCTGTTCTCCTGTGCGGAATACGAAGACAACTGATTTTTAGGTAGGTACAGAATCTGTTGATCACGAGAAGTGCCCAGTGCAGATACGCGACAGAGACAAAAATGAAATATGCCAGGAGATAGTAGTATTCGCCACGTCGAGACAGAATAGGATCGCTAGTTGATCGGGTACACCCATAATTTTGGTAAATATTATTTTATTCTTCCCCAAAAAATACAAGGGACCAAAGCTCTCACCTCTTAAATATCACAGGGATATTTATCAAGAGCGCTCCAACAAATAGAGGAAGTATCATGACCGTATACATCGGGAACGGCATTTTTGTCACATGCGCCAAAATGATCTTTGTCGCAATGCGTCCGAAAACAATTCCAAGAGTCAGCACAAATAGAATTAAGTGTTGATCCTCGAATATATAAGAGTAAGGTGATGCAAGCCAGAAATATCCACAAATCCAGTATATAAGGACAGAAAAAAATTGAGGAAAAACTGCGACAAAAGATTGATTCTGTTGCTTTTTCATTTTGTAGACATTGTAGAGACTAATTTTAAAAGTGAAACAATAAAGATTAGAGTTATGAAATATTGATGACGTGATATCATTTTATTCGTCTTCATACCTTAGCGGTTGTGTAAAGATTACAAGCGCTGACATTGCAACGACTACGATATCTGCGTAACTAGATCCTTCAGGAATAAAAGAAGGTACACTTGATCCATACAAATCACGAAGATCTTTCGTCCAGAACTGAGGTCCTTTTGATAAAATTAATATTCTTGAATAAAGTAACATATAAAGAAATAGCAAAGAAAAATAATAACAGTTACCAAAAATCCCCGACAATACCATACTACCACAAGCTAAAAGTAGACCTTCAGTAGGTCCATTAATATACCCAAGGTACAATGTACCAGTATGATATTCTTCCCAAGTGGACAGATAAAATGGAACTGTAGTTAAGATCAAAAAGAAAGCCGAATACCACGAATGTCCCAAGCCCAATGCTGCAGCTTGCACAATCGCACCAAATGAACAATTTAATGCATCGCAACCGTGATCAAAGAGTTCACCGAGTGGGGATGATGTTCCGGTTCTTCTTGCTTGGCTGCCATCTACGTTATCGAATGTGGAGTATAGCCAAAGTCCAGCAGCAAAACTGGAGGAGAAGCAAGAGTTAATTTATCTGATTTGATTTCTTTCAAGTCAGGATTCTGGATCGCCAAAACTATTTTTGTATAAATACATCCGTTGATGCAAAACGTACCTATAATATAACCATGACGGACCGGGACCAACTAAATCAGGAATCCAATAAATCACACATAACAAATTTATGATGACGAAACCTAATCCACAAAGAGTAATTAAATTTGGTCTAATTACCCCACAAAAATTTTCACAATTGTATTATTTTTGATAATTAATCAAGAAAATACGTGCGAACATTCTATAGTAACTTACGCCATCCATAAGGGAAATAAATTGACAGCCCATTTCCAGTAAGGTTTTAATATGTACCTAGATATTGGGGATTTGTCAATTGCCGAATACTTGTAATATTTTAAGTTACTCAGCCCAGCCTCCCCAATGTAATCTGAATCTATAAACAAGGGCATTACTGTTGTTCAAGGGAAATGAGTAGTATATGATTTAATTGGCGAAACTTGTATGGCGCGTATGTCTCGACTAGTCAAATGGGATATAAACAGAGACCGCCACAGTGAACACTTTTTTGTTACTACGAACCCAGATACTACTACTACTTACTATGCAAGTAACTAACAACAGTTTAATATTTTCAAAAAAATATCCCAAGATTTTAAATGCAGGAGATGATGGTTTCACAGTCAACGCGCGTAGAATTATATTTTTATTTTGGCCCAACATCATCTTTGCGTCATATTTTCTAACAATGTTATTCGTTAATGTCAGCCGCCGTCTTTGTAAAACGCCAGCTGCCGTCACATGTATCCAAACTTGTAGTTTATTGTCATATGATATTAGATACCCCAACGAAAACTCTATATAGATTTTGATGGGGGAGAAATGGTTGTTATTGTTGGGTAAACAGGCATAGAAAAAGATTCAATAATGAATTGGAAACAAAATTTGTGTAATTTGGCTTAGAAAAAATTTTATTCGAGTAAAAATCAAAAAACCAAAAAAAGAAGTCAAAAAAATCCACGCCAGATCAAGCCTTTTGAGAGATTTTATCCATTTTATACATGAGATTAAGTAACCGAGATTTAGCCTGATTCTCGAACTCATTTCTACGATTAGTCATTTCGATTAGATTCTTCTCCTCAGCTTTACGCATTGACGAAATCTATTGTTAATCGTAGTATTAGTACTAGGTAGTACCATTCTAGATATAGTTGATATTAGTTAAACATGTACAAACCTTGTGTTCTAACTCTTCAATAACTCGTTGTTCTTGAAATATTTTCTCGTCATTTTCGTCATCTTCGCCCTTTAATTTCTGATACTCTTCTTCAGATTCGATCCACTTTTCTTCCAGTTCCTGTAATTGTTTTTTAGCCTGCTCTAAATAATGACCCAACTTTTCACGATTGTTTGTTTCTTGCGTTCGTGATCTCTGCGTGCATAGCATCATAATGACGAAAAGAAGTGTAAAGTTAATTTATCTGTGTAAATTTTTTCTCGAATGAATTTCTGTTCGAGAAAAATTCAGAAATCTCTTAATTACCTCCAACTCCGCTTGCAGATTCGATAATTCGAGTCCCCGTGATTCAAGTTTCTGGCTTAATTCTTGGTTGGCTTGTTTATCATTGTCACATCTTTTGATCTCGTTTTCGGCCTCCTCGATACTTTGTTCACATGATTTTGCTTTCTATATATGGGAACAGTTAGTTATTTTAATTGAACTATAAATCAAAAAACACACACACACAAACCTCAAGTAGACCAGTTGCTAAGTCTAATTTCCGTTTAACATCTCTATGTTTTCGATCTTGTAGAGAGGCGAGCTCTTGTTCCTTCTTGACAGATTCGTTCATATGCTCAATCGACTGTAAAAATGATACTGTTGATATTATATACTGTGAGAAAAGTATCTCTAAATAAAAAAAACATAACAAACCATTTTCAATTTCTCTGGATCTTGAGGCAATTTGCGCATTTTTAGCCTTTCGATCTCTTGTTTCAAATTCACGGTCCCGTAAGCGATATTTGACTATACGATTAAAAATATCAATATTATCATTATTACATTTAACATAGAAAGAGAAAATAATCGTAAAATAAAGCATATACCAATTTATGCGTGATGTCATTCCTATTCTGCTTTAATGTATCTATTTCGTTAATTAACGGGGTATTTATATTTTTCAGCTCCTTTAAACCCACAGTCAGGCTATTATTTGCTTCTTTGAGTCTCTTCAATTCGGGTTCTTGCTCTTTACGTTCCAATCTAGATCGAAGAATCGATTATGGCGTTAGATCCCGATATTTGAGAAATATGATTGGTGAGTATGCATTTGCGTGACACGATAAACTAAAAAAATACTTACTCTAAGGCGCTCACTACCTTACAAAGTGCATTCTGTTCTTCCGCTGCCTTTTCGATTGCTTCTCGTGCATCCAACTTTTTGTGTTTGAAATTTGCATTAGTAATTCAACTCGTAAAGATTGAGAATATATAACAATAGAAAGCAGCCTACAAGCTTTGCTTCTAATTCGTCGAAAAACGGCTGCCTGCCTGTTTGGAATCGTGCAAAGTTAATTATACCACTTAGAATTTTTCGAATACGACCGGGTTCTGGTTTGACAGAGTCACGAATAGCAAAATCATTGATTCCTGCTATCTCCGCAAGACAGCCCCTGCAATAAAATTATAGTACATATTTCAATGTGAATAATTGGAACAGTCTATAGGAAATTCAAGTGAACATTTACATACAATCTATACAAAAAGGCCAATAATTCAAGTGTTTCGGCATCAATTTCCTAATGTGATATATGTCACTAAGTCAAAATAAAATCAAAAAACTACTAGTATTCTACTCGCGAAATTTACCTCCACTTCTATAGAAGCATCAATATAATCAGGAGCCGGGAAATATTCGTCTTTGGGGATATACAGACACGCCTCCAAGAAAAATTCGTATATTGGACGAAGACGAGACCAGTTGGGTTTTGTTGATATGTCATCTTTTTCTATATGTTGCCCCATTTCTGCCAAAATACTTTGAATGGCCTCAAAAGACAGAATTGGGAACCCGTATTTTTCCATATTGTTTTTAAGTGAACTTTCTCAAAAGATAATAACAGAAGGGAAAACATGAAAACAAAGGATGGAAACTACAGTTTTATAAAATCATAAATAGAAAATGAATTAATCTTGCTAATCAACTGATCGATTTATGCTACCCAAAAAACGCGTCTTACACAACGTCGATCATCAAACAACACATCGCGTGTCGTAATACCTTTCTTTTCTTTTGATGAATAGGCCCCTGTAACTTTTAGCGTCAAATATATATTTCAGACAAAAAAAAAGAAAATTATTGAATTACCCTTGCATTGCCCGTCGAGAAAGGAATTAACTATGAATAATAATAACAATAAAAATATTGTTGTTAATGACAATGGTGCTAATATTAATAATAATATTAATAATAGTAGTAATAATAATAGCAATAATAATGCCAATAGTAATAATAATAGTAGCAATAATATCGAGAATAACGAGAGCAATAAGAATAATGAGAATAACGAGAATAATAATAACCAAATTGATAATAATAGTATCGAGAATGGTAAGGATGCTCAAAAACAAGCAGAAATCATTGACGAACCGGAAAATTATGCTAAACTGGAGAAAATTGGCTCTGGTAAGACATTAAGTATAAGGACACTGTTCCAACCCAAGAGTAAATATTACTCATTAATTATATTTCACAAAATTATAGGCACATATGGTGTAGTTTACAAAGGACAAGACAAGAAAAACGGGCAAATAGTAGCTTTAAAGAGAATTAGACTTGAAACTGAAGATGAAGGCGTGCCACCCACAGCTATGCGAGAAATCTCGGTACTTAAAGAAACCAAATGTCGGAATATTGTTCAGTTAAGTTTGATTTTAGGACATGACGCGTTTTTGCACAATTCACGTTGCAAACGTCATGATTGATCATCTAATTTCTATGCACGTAGACTTTTAGATATTGTATATGAGGAGCGGAAACTTTATCTGGTGTTTGAGTATTTAGATATGGATCTGAAGCGTTATTTGGAATCTTTGCAAAAAACTGCATTTCTAAGCCCTGATATTGTGAAAGTAAGCATTTTAGATCCTTGTGAATCTCAAAAAACTTTTTAGCGAAAAGTTCATCTTTATTTTTTCCCAAACACGCAGAAATTTATGTATCAATTGCTTGATGGTGTTGCTTATTGTCACTCTCGTCGGATTCTGCATCGTGATCTTAAGCCAGCAAATCTGTTGATTGGAAAAGATGGTAATTTAAAACTTGCTGACTTTGGCCTTGCAAGAGCTTTCGGTGTGCCACTTCGACCATTAACTCACGAAGTAAGAAATGATTAATTAGCTCTATTTTCATCTTTGTCATATGAAAAAGTTTATAATGATGACGATGATAGGTTGTGACGTTATGGTATAGAGCACCTGAAATCCTGCTTGGTTCGCGTCAATACTCCGTTCATATAGATATTTGGAGCGTAGGTTGCATTTTCGCGGAAATGATTCTTAAAACTCCTTTGTTTCCAGGTAATATAACTGTTTGACCATTAGCATTCAGATTTAATATTAAACATGTTTAAACAAATAACTTTGAAATATAGGCGATTCTGAAATAGATGAAATATTCAAAATTTTCCAGTAAGTTCTTTTTTCGACATTTATCAATAACTATTTTTGTTTTTAATAGGTTTTATTTTATGACATACTCTTAGAACACTCGGGACTCCAGATGAACATATGTGGCCTGGTGTTACTAGTTTGCCTGAATTCAAAACAAATTACCCGTCTTGGTCTTCGCAATCTTTGACTAAGCATATTCCAGAATTAAACGAGGATGGCATAGGTCTTCTTCAGGTAATCTAACAAAGATATTAATTAGCATATATCCATCACAGAAAAGAATATATATATATATAAACAGCATTAACATTTTACTATGAATTGGTGTGTGTATAGCGAATGCTACTTTACGATCCGACTAAACGTATCTCTGCAAAACAAGCTCTTACACATCCGTATTTCACTGGATCCACAGGTCTATACAGAGTAAATGATATTATTTAATTTTGTAATAATATTAGTGGCATATATAATTCGAAAGTTCTTTTTATCCTTTAAATGTCTTTCTAATTAATGTTTGCAATTAATGTTTGTCTTTTATTCAACGAATAATAATAGTAATAAGAATCATCGTCATCAATACTATTATTATTTAAAATTATTAAATTTTATAGGTAAACTGAAATAAATAAGTGAACCAGGAGAAATTAAATAATTATTATTATTATAATAATCATTTCATATATTGTTTATATAGATTCCTCATAAATATTGTCTTGGTTGTGAAGACGAAGTGCGTGAAAGACCAACCCCATCATCAGATTCTAACTGACCACCCTGCTTCGCCATACTATCTAGTGTACGAATTGCCGCCGCTTGACGCATCCTTATCTTTCGACTTGCACTTTCTAATGATTGCCGAGCACTTTCTCGGAAGTTGATTGCCTCTTGAGATTCCTGTTCGATAATTTTTATGTCTGGAAAATGATTTTATTTGATAGAATGCATGAATGATATTATATAATATAAGGGCGGCATCTTTCATTTTATGGAATGCGGACTTACTACTGTCATCTTTATTGTTTGAATCTTGCGACTCGGTTGTTGATGTTTTTTTCCACGTGTACCCGGTTGCGGGATGAAATTCCACTTGATCATGACACGCGTTAAATGCTATATCTAATGAACGTAAACTTATCATCTGCGAAAAATCCGAAAATTCAGTACTTGTTTGTCTAATTCCACAATCATTGATGCATTTATTGAACGAAAAAATAAACTTACCACGCGATTAGCAAGTATCGAGTATAAGTCGGGCGCTTGATACACATCAGCTTTGTACACGTAATAAGTGGTGGTGGGTACCACTAAACACATGGAAATACAAAAAGTTGACAATTAATTGCATTTAAATATAATTTTCAAATTAATAAGTGGAATGTAAGAAGATAAACTACCTACTAACAAATAATTTAATTTGCTGTGCTTTTTTTTCTTAAATAATCGTATTCATTTTTTTTTATTATTTTAAGTTGAAATTTTTTTTAATTTTTCTTGATTATTTATTTAATTAACCAAAGCCAAAAAATCAATTGATTAAAATTTTGTCGAAAATAACAAATGACTCGTAACATGCATGCGCATCATAAAGTGACAATAAAATAAAAAAAATAACTTGACTTACCCTCATACTCACTTATCCGGTTCTGTTTACGAATAATCCACAGAAACGGGGGACGCTCATGTGCCACTTGGAATTCGGTTCCTTTCATCTTCCTTTTTTAATGTCCAAATAAAATCAAAAAAGCATACGTAAAAATTAATATAATAAGCTCGATCAATTCGATTAAATCAAATTGGATCAATGATGAAAATAAAAAAAAATTACTTTAACTCAAACATCAAATCCTTCAAATCGTTAAACTGCGTTTGCATCTTCAACGTCGCATTATTACAATGTTTCTCCCAAAACGGCGATTCTGAAAAGTAATCGAGAACGTTATTGGAGTTTAGTCCGTTTGGTTGCTAGAATTTGTTGATTGGATTATTTGATTAAAAAATTATTCATTGTTCAATTTAATAATGTGATGAAATGTGAGCGTAACCAAACTTTTTGTTTTTTTATTTCACCTGCATAATCCATTCAGGATGTCGCCAAACTATAGTGGTAAGTTCAGAGTCCGACATTTTCTTTAATTTTTTTTTGGTGGATACGCATAACGGTATCCGTTATGGTTCAGAGTTACACGTGATATATAATCCGATCCGGATTGCAATCATGTGACCAAATTGACTAGCCAATAAAAATACTAGTGTTGACACTAAAAGTATTAATCATAAAGTTGGCGAGCAATTTTACAGTGACAGCAAAAATAAACTGACCAATTAAAAAATTTTATTTGATTGTTGAAACTCTTGAAAAATCGTTTTTTCAAGACCACTTCCATTTCATCAACGAAAAGCATCAAATACTCACCAAAGAACTCACTGGATCCGGCGACGAAACCAACACGGAGAAACTGGACACCCGTGAACTCTTACTAACCCTAACTAACACCGGCGGTCTCGGAAAAATGCCAAGAAAAATCAGTCAACTTTGGACGCTTTTGTGGTCCGAATACAAAGGATGTTCGTCTTGATTAGGCGAATCAAACGAATCCGAGTTCGCAAAATTCTGAACATAGATCGGCGAGATATCGTTACCTCACGATCCGTCCGATTTTGTTGATCTAAACGATTATAGATCACAAAAATTAGTGATTATTAATTTGATCTAACGCTAACGTTAATTTTTGATTAAATTGAAACCATGCGCACAAAATTCCCACGGTTCGGAATTTGATTGGTTTATATGTGTATAGAGAAAAATTAAAATAATTTTTCTAATGAGCCGGCGAGCAAGAATTCTTGGGTTTATAACAATTGAAAAATACGTTAGTTAGATTTATCGTCATATCAAGTATTATTATTTCTTGTAATGTCACGTAACGAGGACAATAATGCATGAGAGCTTAATAATGTGACTATATAAGTAAGTTGCCAAATTTTAATAATTTCCCTAATTCTTTACGTATATTCTGTTGATCCCAAATATAAGGTTTAGCGTTAGATGATAATACAAACGTCAATAAGCCACAGTGTTCGTAATATGTCAACAGGATAAAAAGGAACTATTTTTTCTTCAATCTTATTTTGTAATTATTATTTTATGATTCGATTTAGCAGTCACCAAAAGGTGAATCACCCAAAGTATTCTTCAGACCAGACAGCAGCAGCCCCAACTAGCCGAAAAAAATCAGTAATACAAGATAAATGCCGTCATCCATTTCCAATAAAAACGAGGAATACGCACAAGGCCGTATTTCTCCCATACAAGAAAGTACGAATTTTATTGGTAAAAACTTACTCACAATAGATATTACCAATGGCTCAGAAGAAGAAATTGTGTCGGACGACTCTAGCTTCCTAATAGACAACTCTGCAAAGAAACATTCGGTCCTCGACGCATTCATTACTCGAATTGGAATGGGAAAATTCCAAAAACAGTTATTGGTATATACCTTTATTGTTCTGTCAAACATTTTAAAACACAGATACGCATCTATGCACTCGAGCATAAATTTATCCTTAGAGTTAAAAAAATGGAGTCTTTTTTTTCTTGAATATTTTCAAGCATTGCATATTTTTATTATTCTCGTGACAGGCAACCAATACATATATAAATGGGGATAGACAGCGCCTCTGGTTATCAGCAGTAACATCATTTTTTTGCTCTGTGTTTTCAGGTTCTTTGTGGGTTTGGATGGCTCGCTGATAATGTAAGAAATCTCTCTGTTTCATCAATTTCATGTGTTTAAAAGTGTTAATTCTTTATCTGTCAATCTTAGATGTGGCTGCAGGTAATTTGTTTATACAATTCTCTTAGTCTTTGGTTACGCTCTGGATTTCGAATTCATTTAAGATTTATTCTAAATCAACCAATTTAATAAAAGTGCATTGCTGTCATATTACCAAGAGTACAAGGTTAGTATTTTTGATAACTCATTCATTAATTTCTCGAATTTTAATTTAAATCATCAATTTATAATACACAAAAATACAGTTCATTTCGATGTCTCTGATCGCTATATTGGAACTTTATCAAGCTCTGTGTTCATTGGAATGATGTTTGGCGCTCTCTTCTGGGGTGTCCTCTCGGACACCAATGGACGCAAGCAGGCTTTTAATCTCACATTGGCAGTAACAGCCTTATTTGGCGTGTTTTCTAGCCTTGCGCAAAGTTTTGTGCAGCTTTGCGTTATGCTGTTTTTGTTGGGTTTTGGGGTCGGCGGAAATATGCCTGTTGATGGTAAGTGTTGATGTAATATAATGGTTTTTATTTGTACCATTTATTGACAGGATTATGTGTATAATGCACATTTATTTTTTTTTCAGGTGCTCTTTTCCTAGAATTCATTCCTAAAGAAAATCAATACCTACTTACCTTCCTATCGGTATTTTTCTCGTTTGGTGCGGTTCTCTCCTCGTCAATCGCATATGTAATACTGCCACCCTACAGTTGTCCTGAGATAAGCGGTAAACCGGGCGATTGTGATATTAACACACAGAATAATGGATGGCGGTATATGCTGGCCATCTTGGGATCCTTGGTAAGCTTCTTTGTCACGTGCTATTTATTATTTTATATTAATAATACATATATTTATTAAAATTGTAGACCTTTCTCATGCTTATATCACGTCTCTTTTTTTTCCGTCTGCAAGAATCTCCTAAATATCTATTGACCAACAATCGGAAACATGATGCGGTACTTGTCTTGCGCAAAATTGCCCGGATCAACGGAAACCCTGTGCAAATACGCGTCAGTGATTTCCCAACCACGCCTGACCCATCTAATAACGCGACATCCACCTCTTCGTCTCCACAGAATATATCCCCATTCCTAGTAGTAGCTTCTCCGGACGAGGATAATTTTGAATTTTTCTCAAATCCTGTTTTTTCCACGAAATATCATGTTTCGGCAAAGCTTCGTTCTGTGCAACCGCTTTTCAACCCGAAATGGATTAAAACTACATTGTTGGTGTGGGCTATTTGGGGATTAGTTGGATATGCGTATACGACGTTTAATGTTTTTCTGCCAAAGTATTTGGAAAGCTTGGGTTTAGAAGATGAGGATATGCCAAATCAGCGTGATAGTCTAATGAAGGAAGTGCTTCGAGATTATTTGATTTATTCGATATGTGGCGTTCCTGGTTCTGTGGTATTGTATCGTGTTTTATTTATGAAATTGAAAGTTTAATTTATCGATTGTTAAATTCTTTCTCTGCGGCACATTTGTTTAATAAAGGTTGGTGCATATTTAATCGAAAGTTCACTGGGGCGTAAAGGCTCGATGGCAATTGCCACATTTGGGACATCATTGGCCGTATTCCTATTTATCACAGTAAGATCATCCACCAATATTATACTGTCCTCAGCGACGGTAAGTTTTCTGGCAACACTCAACTATGCCGTGATCTATGGGTACACACCTGAAGTATTTGAAGTGAAGATGCGAGGCACTGCGTGTGGTATCAGTTCTGCTATTGGAAGGATGTAAGTCTAATTGTGATAATGCGATAATGACGACATTTTTGTTAACCATTAATGTTATAATTTATTAAATTGAATTTTTCCTTTCGTTATAATTAGTGCTGGAATTATTGCTCCTGTAGTAACCGGAGCACTACTCTCGGTCAACATCAGCATACCATTATTCTTGTCAGCCATGCTTTTTGGCATGGCTGGTGTTTGTATGGTTCTGCTACCAATTGAAACTAGAGGACGACAGGCATAATAATAATAATAATAATAATAATAATAATAAGAAGAAGAAGAAGAAGTTAATCTATAAATAATAGTGAGGCTGATGCAAATATTAATAATTTTAATTCATGCCTTTTTGGTTTTGATATATTTTATTATCATCTTTTTCTATCATTATCGTTGTATCGTTTTTCTTATCTTTTAATTGAGAGACGACAACGACGACATAGACACTTGTAATTTAATTCTTTAAATCATTTATTTTTGTTCCTATTATTGAAATAAAAAAAGAGTTGAATATTTTAGAAATTTAATGTTTCGTTCTCGTGAGCATGAATGATCAAAATATTTAGAATTCCCTACGGATCTACATTAACCAATACTTAATCCGCGGCTAAGCCACAGAAGAAATTCCAACAAAAAACCAAAATTACTAGTTCCTCTAGCTTCTCTACAGGTTAGAACAGAGAAAATAGGGAAAGTACATTGACAATCACCATTGTTACATTGTTAATATCAAAAAGTCGTATATCAAAGAAAATTTTTGAGCGCACACGCTGCATGGCTGCCACCACACTCGCAAAAATATCAGCAGCTGTAGATTCATTGATAAAAACTAGCAATAAAAACAACCACCACCAACTTGAAGAACAACAAATAATAATGGAAGACGACGATCAACCACAACCACAGCAACAAGCTACTGTTTCACCTTTTAATAACTCCCCTCGGAAACGTAAGAGAGTAAATAATAGCAGCAGTGCGGGTTCAGCAAGTAATGGTAGTGCTAATGGTGTTGACAACCTGAACAATGATCATAGTACTAACAATGCTAAAGAAACCAAATTAAGGAAATCATCGACTATTAGTAATAACAATACCTTACCGAGAAAAAAACGAAAAACTCAAAAACTTCCATCGCCGGTAAGCAAAGAAATAATAACTGATAGTGATAAAATAGAGGGTTCTGAAGAAGAGGAGGAGGACGAGGAAGGAGAATACGCAGGAGCCGAAGATCCCGCAGAAAGTATTGACCCTATGGAAACTGACACGATGGACGTCTACGCTTTCACCGAAAATAATAGTAACAATGTGTCGCCGGAATCGAATAATAAAAAACCGGGTAGAAAAACCCCGAATAGGCGTGGATCTGCCAAAAATAGGCGTGAAAATGGGAGAAAAGAAAAGAATAATAGTACTAATAGTAGAAAGTTAAAAATGAAGCGAGATAAGGGTGATGAAGATGATGATGTGATTTCGATTGACTCTTTTGGTGGTGGAGTGTCCGATCATCACCAAGAGGATTTCAGAGAAGACGTTAAAGCTTTGTCGTCGTCTGCATTACTAAATGGAACTGGTAGTCATGAATCTAAAGGCAAAGAAAAAGAGAGGAATGAAGAAAAGATGGAAGTCGATTTGCCATTTGGTGGAAAACTGACTGAAGAAGAAGCTGATTTAACTAAAACAACACCTGATCAAAATGACAAGAGTAAATTTGAAAGAGCTAAAACTCAAGCCGAAGTATTTACCATTTCGAAAATGATTCTTTGTTCTTTTTTCTTCAAACCTTTTGCTAAGGATATCATTTTTCCTTAAAGGCGAAAAACCCAAAATCCGAACCTCAGGCTACAGAAGAGAAAACACAACATGACTTTATCGAGACAACTCCCAAAATACAAAAAATTCGATTCGGTGATTGGGAAATTGATACGTGGTTCGTTGCGCCGTATCCTGAAGAGTATAGTCTACATGAAGTATTGTATATTTGCGAGTTTTGTCTCAAATATATGAAGAGTCAGTTTGTTGCAACTAGACACAAGGTTTGAATTATTTTTTTTTAAATACACTCATTTTCATTATTACTACTGCTATCGTTAAAACTATTATTGTCATTGCTTGTACATAAACAAATAGCAAAAGTGTCCTATGCGACATCCGCCAGGAGATGAAATTTACAGGGACGGTCAGATCTCGATATTTGAAGTTGATGGAAGAAAGAATAAGGTTAGATAGAGGCATATACTATTTATGTTCTATACAACTTCGAAATTTCAATCTATATTTTATTTTGCAGATTTATTGTCAGAACCTGTGTCTGCTGGCTAAGATGTTTTTAGATCATAAAACACTATATTATGACGTCGAGCCCTTTCTATTCTACGTAATGACAGAGTGCACAGATAGTGGATGTCACTTTGTCGGGTACTTTTCCAAAGTACGTAATTTTTCATTAAACCACCACACATAATACATCATCAACATATAATAGTGAAATCATTTAAACAATTCTTTAGGAAAAACGATCCCCGTTAAATTATAATGTATCTTGCATCCTAACATTACCAATACATCAAAGAAAAGGATACGGAAACTTGTTGATTGATTTTAGTGAGTATTTTCAAAGATTGAGAAATTATAATTGTATTCTTTACTAACTCTGAATTCATCACATTTTTATGTAAATTCCTAGGTTATTTACTAACAAAAAAAGAAAATAAGACCGGATCACCCGAAAAACCATTATCGGATCTTGGGCTTCTTAGTTATCGTAACTATTGGCGTAATGTCATATTTGAAGAACTAAGGAATGTCAAAAATCCTATTAGTATTGAAGGTGATTTGAAAAAGTGTTGATAATTCGTTGCATATGTAAATAAGTATTAATTAAGTATCAATCGTTTATTATTAAAAGAATTAAGTCGAAGGACAAGTATGACATCCGATGATGTGATTTCCACGCTGCAGACAAATGACATGCTCGTCAAAGATCCAGAAACCCATTCATACAAATTAGTAATCGACAAGCAGCGTATCGAAGCCCACTTCAAGAAACTTGATTCAAAGGGCTACCCAAAAATAAAGCCTGAGAATCTAAAATGGACACCTTTTATTGTGACAAGAGGACTCGGCTTACGATTAGTAGACGACGAAGAAAAACAGGATAATAACGGGGAAAAAGACAAGGAAAAAGAAGACGATGAGAAAAGTAAACGAGAGAAAGTTGAAGGTGATTCATCTGCTGTAACTGGAAATGGAAGCCAAGCAGTTGTTGGAATCATAGACAAGGGTAAAAAGAGGAAAAAACGAGCCTTTAACCCGAGTCTTGGCACACGAAGAATGACAAGGACAAGAGCTAGGCTAGAGAGCGAGAGCACAGAAAAACAAACGTCGTCAAACACGATGACGACGACGACGACGACGACGACGACGACTTATGAAGTGGTAAATGGGGTTATGGAAGAAGATGAAAGGAATGATGTTGATCAAGGTGGGAACGAGACTAATTGAGTGAGAGGTATGGTTTATCGGTTTCTTATCTGTAATGTTTTATTATTTTCAGTTGTTACACTCAGTAAAGTGCTTTTCGAAATCTTTTGTTGTTTATCTCAATCTTATGTTTGGACGTTTCTTATTACAATTGCTTGCATCATTTCATCACATTCATCACAATCGTCATTTTATCATTATTTACATTTTTCACTATTAATTAATAGTTTTCTTTGACCTCTTTTTTTTCAAGAATATTTTTTATTCTTTTAAATAAATATAAATATAATTAATCTAAAATAATGAATGGATCTTTAATAATTTTTTAGCCAATAATTATTGTTGTTTATCACGGTAAAACAGACATTATTGTACCCTCTGTAGATAATGGTGGACTGAAAAATACCATATCATTTCTCGAAAGCATCTATGGTGCAGGTCATCTAAAGGCTACACGAAATGGTACTGATTCAAAGACTAATCGTTCTATAGATTTTCAAAATTCCGCAGACTTCAGATGAACTGCACCATAGAATTTATATTTTGTATTTATTACCGTGATGTTCGGCAAATATCCCCCCCCCTTTTTTTTTTCTTTTTTCCAGCTCCGGGTATTATTTGCTGAACATTACGGTGCTTGAATATTGTTTTTTTGTAATTTTATAAGGTGAAATTCGAGTTTGTACATGCATTCTTTCATTCAAATATTAACTACAAACGAATAAAATCACTCGTGAGGCATGTTAAACATTGCGCCACAAAGAAATTGCAGGGATCAAAATTGTCAAATACCTAATATATAATTTTAAACTCTCCATTTTTGATTCAGCTGCGCCAAATCGCAATTCCAACCAGATAGCACGGATTTCCAGTGAATCAAAAACGGGAATTGCAGTCACTTTTACGCGTTTTTTCTCATTTAAGTTGACATCATGACCAGTGACGCCAAGAATTCTACGCTGGTAAGTTTCACTAAATGATGTGAAGTATATAACTAGAGCTTGCACTTTAGGACTGCATACGAATAACATACTGTTTGTTTTATTTTGTAATCTGGATATCAAATTTATCAAGAAGAATGCTGTGTAATGATTCTACTTCAAGAGTGAATGAATTAGTAGACATTACTATACAATGATCTCTTTTACTATAAGAACCTTCACCTGCCAACCCTCTTTCAATACCAGAGAATTAATAACACATTCAAAGCAGGCAAAGCACCCCGTTTAACATCAGTTCGGATCGTCTATTGGGTACTGCACTAATAATTCCTATAGAAACAAAAAGATTCCATAGCCATTGTACAAATTCCTTTCTTTTGTCAATTTCGAGTCGAGCATTTATTACTCTAAACTGAAGATGACCATCGCTGAGAAGCATTCCTGTGATTACTTCCAAGATGAATGGAGGAATTTTAATGACGGCCTTTTCTGCTTTTGCAAGAGTAAAAGGCATAATAAATAGATGATTTTTACTTTTTCACACATATCTAGAAGCTTTTTTTTAGATACTTCTGAAGATTCTTCTGCTGGTAAGATAAATACGGGAGCCTTTTGTTAGCAATCGCTACAACCACAAGCATGCACGCAATAACGAATTCTGAGCGGTCAACAAGCAACGCACGAAATAAGTAGTTTCGTTTATCCTCCGTTAAGTGTCCGACGGAGACCAAGAGATCTGATATACCCTTACGAACATAACCCGCCAATAAATCACGTTTTTTCAGAGTGTTGGGAATCACGTCTCTCAGAACACCGATTAAAGCCTCCCTTCGGACTAAAGCTCTGTTCGAGTTGGTTCGGGTCGGGTTTGAGGTCAACCCGATCTGATAAATTCGGATCGGATCGGGTTTGATCCGAAAATCGTAACTTTTATTTTTACTGACACTTGTATTTTGTGTCTTAAGAAGAGTTCGAATGTAATTGTGTATAACGGAACATGAAAATTAACTTTCTAGCATTTTTATTTCCATGACTATTAGTTTGGACAAAATAAAAATGTTCATTTGAAACTAATATTTTTTAAAAATAATTTGACAACAGATTATTTTGTGAAATAGAGTGATTTAAGTCGAAATTTACAATTAGTAAATTTCTCACATTGAAGAACTTTTTTTCTATGACGGATTCAAAATTTGAACCACTAATTAAAAAATATTTTACTACCTATTTACTAATTTTCATAAAAATCAGCTTAATTTATATAGATATTTAAGATCCTAAAGTCTGAATCTATGCTAGGAGCATTAATA